TGACATTTCTGGTGGGATTTAAATCTGGAGAGTTCCCAACCCACATTCCACCACTTTTTCATGGACCACTCTTTCAAATTTGACAATTCTGAAACTTTTGAGGCATTAATCACATTTTTCAATCTGCATTGCGATGTGTTGATTGGAAAACTTGAATTCTCTGAGCATGTCTGCAACTAATATCCATGCCATTCCGAAGACAGCACATGTGACACAAACCTGAGTTCTAGTGAGCACCACGATTCAAGTTTTCACAAAAAATTAAATTTGAAGAGTCAAAAACACCCAAGAGTACATTGAAATGATGTTTTCTCACTAGTAATGATATTCTCGGTCCTATCAAGTTCGTCATTACTTCAGGGTAAAAAGTGTGATTTATTTTGCAACACCCTTTACCAAATTTTCTGAATAATTCTTCACACAAGAGAAGATACATTAAATAAAAACATTATTAGTAAAAACAAGACATAAAAAAAACTTGTATTATCTTAAATTTGTCCATTTTCCACTCATTGTTTTAATAACAAGAACTAGAGTTGGGTGATGAAATTGATTAATGAATTACCTATGAGCATCAGTTACACAGATTAGTGTCACATTACATAATCTAATAATCCAAATTATGATTAAATTGATTAATGTAAATAGTCAACTAGTGTTTTTGATCATTACCATTTTCAATTATTCCAACTATGCAGTAAACAAAATATTGCAGTTATGATTTTTCCTTATTAATTTTAAGTAACTCAAGTTTATTCAGTTTATTAGTTAGTGTCACAACACATAAAAATAATCAACTAATCAAAACCAGATTTTCAAATGATTATATTTTTTAGTATTGCAACAATCTAAATAATCAAAATGTTGCCATCATATTTTTAAGCACAAAGCTACATAATAGGCTATCTATCCTCTACCCACCAGGGGTATCAGAACCCAATTTTTAGCATTAGCATTATACACTTTTTCATTTGTGTCATGAGATAATCTATTAGTTGAATGTAGTCTACTACCAATAACAAAATGACAAGCAAATTCCACTAACTGCACAGCTCTAGCACAATCTAGCTTTATACCAATTCAAACACTTGTGATGAATTAATTGGCAATCCAGTGCCTTTGTCTTACAACTCCAGTATACAATTTATGTACTTTTCTCCAAGAAAATAC